AATAAGTATTTTATTACGTGACAAATTATTTAAATAGGTACTAGAAGAACAAGAGTTTTTGTGTTAGGAAGCAAAATATTTGTTATTATTAGGAATTCAATTAATTCTTTTTGAACGTAACAAGTAGTATTAAAAAAAAAAAAATACTTATTATTACAAGATTAATTTTTTTTTTTTTATAACATTTTATCAACATTTTAAGAAAACTTGACAATTAGTTGAGAGTGCCTATTAGATTTAATTTGAGTGTTATATTTATTGAACAATAAATCTTTACGGAAATCAATAAAAACGTAAATTTAATACGCATTTTTAATACCACAGTTTTGTTGACTTCAAGGCTATAATATATTTTTTTTTTTGTTATCTTAAAATGTATATACCTATTAAACTGATGTAGGCACTACATATTATTTCAACCTTCGAGTATGTGGGTGGACAGTGGACACAGCCACGAATAACAAGAATTCGGAACATCGCATTGGTACCCTATATATTATTATGAATATTGTTACTATACAGTCTACAAGTGTTTACTTAAACATATGTATTTACTGTGAAAATATATGCAAATAATTTGCGTTTTCGAGTGAAAACAATTTAAGTACTTCTATGCGCAGCAGCTTTAAAATTAGTAAATAGATATAACGTATTCTTTGACACGTAAACAACTGTTATTGGTTTTGATTAAATTCGTTTAAATATAAAAATAAAATACAATCCTTGGCCCTCGCTTATAAAATTGAAAAATGTTGTTCATAGAAAACGTCTGTTTCCAATGATTTTTGATTTTTTCTGCTTGAAATCTAATAACTGTATATACTATGATAAGCAATGAGTTACTTTTGACTTGTAACTTGGTTGAGTTTCCTTCGAAGCAGTGATAGTTGAAAATAAAAATCATTTTCGAATAAGATAAATAATTATGTTTATGCGTACCGTGCTGCCGCTGCAATAATGGATTTCGTATTTTTCTCGACGTTTTTATTGTTTCTCCGAATATGAAAATCATTCGTCGGTTGGGGTTTATTTTTTTAAACAAATTTTATCACCGGTGGAAAATATGTTACGGAGGTCGGGCGCCAATACGCGCGCTTGGTTTCCAATTTGCAGAGGCCATTCATCAAAAAAAAAAGAAAAAAAAACGCAGACACGAGCCGCCGGTAAGGCTGCCGCCAAGTAGGCTGCAAGACCTGCAACTTGAAAGCGATCAATCTTGTTGAAGTGAGAAAAGAAAAAGTAAATAAAATAAAAACAAAAACAGAGCGGACAAAAAGAAGAAAACATTTATCGTCGGAGAGAGGAAAGACGATTTTTCAAGACGCTCGCGCGGCAGACGATTTGTTGAGATATTCATTATATACGAAGAGGGTGAATGGGAGGGATGAAATTATTTGAACCGGGTACGAGGGTGGGGGTAGTGGGGTCGCTATAGGATTTCCTGGACACGGCTATACCAACATATATAATATAATATATGAACGCATGACGTTTATACCGAAAATCAGCCAATAGAGATGTACTCGGGATTACTGTCCGCTTCCGAAATCAGATCTGCTGAACCGATGTGTGTTACGAAGTAATAGTAATAATCGGTTTCAAACCAGAATCGTTAATAACGTACCAACGATTATATCACACTGCAACGATAAGCATTAAGCAGCCGTCGATGCGATCGTATATTCATTGAAGTTGTATAAATATCACATGATAACACTATATTATAAATTATAATAATATAATGGTCATATACTTTACATTATTGTTAATCGTATAATATTATTAAAAAATTTAAAACAAGCCACGTGGGACGCGTTGAAGCATCACATAATAATATAATAAATTATGTCGATATAGGTTTATTATAATATTATTGTGTTTGCAGTTTACTGTTTACTTTTACTCAATAATCGCAAACACGAAATTCTTTACAAAACACAAAATCGATACAGACTTACGGGACGATACTCAATAGCTGGTATATAGGTATGTAGCCATGTAGGTATACCTACCGAACTGGAATAGTAGAATATAATATATTATATATCGGTGACACATTTTTTATCAAACGCGTGAAACAAAATATGTACCTATACTTATTTTTTATATACCTAATACATATCTAATTGGCTATACGTATTTAAAACAGTAAAAAAAAAAGATTGTAAGTGGATGTCGCTCTGCTGTACAGTGGTTACAAGTGGGTCAATGTATAATGGATTGTATTAAACTTGAATTCAATGATATAATATAATTGTATAAGAAAAACGATTCTGAGCGGAGACGGTTTATCAGTCTGGATTTTTTAAAATTGTATTATTTATTATAGCCTTTAAGTTGAATTAATATTATAATATTATTATTTTTTATTCGTTTCTATGGTGATAAACAAAGCGTTAGAAATTAAAATCCCATTTTTAGTGGTTTTTCGTAATTTGTATAGGTGGTTTTTCCTGTGGCATTAAATAAATATTAAGAAAATCGAAAAATGACCTCTTTAAAGTACCATCTTGATCCAATTTTCTAAAAGATAACGTACTATATGTTGAAATCCAAGCACTCCTTCTGGTGGACATTTTGTATACAGGATATAAAAAAAAATAAACACCATTGTAAAACCAATAGCTTCCTCGCTCCGCTCAGAATCTAAAATATGACAAACGATTATTTTTACTATATAAACACAATTAATTTTGGTTCCGACGAGCTCAGGTGTGCTGAAAATACGATTACGTATTTTAACCAACTCCCACTTGGGTATTTGACATGTTAATCTAAATAGTTTGACACGATATTTGCACACGATGACCGTAACCGCACGGGTTGCATAGATAACCTTGGGTGTGGGCTTAAACACTATATATATACACGTCTTTAAATCTACACAACCGTACTCAACTATTCAAGTGTATACTATCATTCACATGTCGTATTCAAACAACGAAAGTGTGAAATTCATTGATGTACAAGGTGATTAATTTGAGTGTCTTCTCATTATTTCTAAATTATTTTCTGAATGGCAACATACACTTTTAATTTCATATTCATTTAATTTCATATAAGTCCTATATAGTATAGTTAATTAGAATTATGTTTAATTTTAAGTTTATATGAGCTGAGTAGAGTGGCCGGGGGACCACGTAAAACGTTTTTCCACTACTCCACTCGTCTTAGCTTTAATTACTTATAACTTATAAGTTATAACTAACTAACTAAGTAAGTACTAAGTACTAGTTCAAAATTAAATTTTTATATATCTCAAAATATTATGTGGAATATGAAAATAAAAAAGTAACAATAAACATTTTTTTCAAACGTTTTGTAATATCAAATTATGTGAAAATAATATTTAAAAATAACCTGAAAATTGTTTAAAATAATAAGTACTTATTGCTACAGAAACTGATCTCCTTGTATATAAAAAAATCTTTCAGACGCTTCCTCGTCGTGTGGTATTGCACGGTTTGACTTACAAACGAATACATGACACACGTCGAAGACAATCATATTCCAGCCACCTTTATAGTCAGAAAAATTGTGAAATTAAGTATATACGAGTATGTTTCATACGTGATACACTGATACATATAGTGTATAAACTAATAGACTATAGGTATAATATGTGATATGTATGCATATAATACATGAATATATATCAATAACCTTACTGGTAGACTATTTCAGATTATCCCTATACGTTTGATACAATTAATGTAATTAACAAATGTGCCGGTGATTAACCCAAAACAGTATATAAGTCGTTAACGCGTTGCTACGCAGATGAAAAATTAGAGAATTTTCTAAATAATATACACACATACACGCATTTACCGTCTTATCTTATTCTAAACTAAATACTGCATACTTCAATTTAAATTAAAACCTATAAAGGCTATCACCAATCAATGTATTTTAATTTAATAATAATATATTGTACTATACCATTATACATTTATACCTTCATAAAGCTTTGCGAAATTTTGTAACGTATATAGAAAAATGTTTAATTTAAATTAAATATATCCCCACCTAGTACTCAGTATTTAAAAAACTTACAGTGCAGACGTGCAGTATAATATATTATTGTGTAGGGGTATTGAGTGCATTTATTTATTAATAATCAATTTAAACGTTTAGGTATAAGTTTTAACTAGTCGGACTGTTGAACACGTTGGTTTCATAAATATTGCAATAGATGCGTATATTATAATAAAGGGTAAAAAAAAAATGGACAAGTGATTTTAGCACAACTCTGAAAAGACGAAATTATGCTCAAAACAGGGACAATCCCGTTTTAGACAGGACGTTCGGTCATCCAAGCACTGTAATACACTAATACTGTAATAATATATTGTTTTAATTACATGAAGTCTAGTTTCACGAGATTTATGTAAATACGAGCTTTTAGTGACTGGATATATATATTATTTATTATTGTTTTTGTCTCGCTGTACCTACTATATAGATGAAATACCTGTTTATCGCACCACTTGCCATCATATACCGTATATGGGTAAATGGATGTACATAATATAATATATTATTAGGTGTACGTACCTACGTCTCTGCGTGGTTGTAAACACATTGTTGTTTCTATTAACAATTATAATCTAATACATTAACGGTTTTTTGTTTGTAGATTCGAGTGCAGCTTTTTTCGGTAGTCGATACACTACCCTGTAATCCTAGACCGGAAAAATTTATGCACGTGTCGCATGCACAAAGTTTGGAGAGCACACCGATTGTCTTGTCACAGTTATGTCATAAAGCCGTTCGGACGCGCCTGCGCGCCTTGATCCGTTATAATAATATCATATTATAGTGTACCGCGCGTGCATGTATAATATTACATTATTATTATATAATTTACACCGTCCAACCGTGTCCCATTCGTCCGGCTAGCCGGTCGCCGTGCATCCAAAATCGCCGAGTTAGCCGTTAGCCGCCCGAGCGCGCGCGCCTGCGCGTTCACCACGTCCGCGGTGGGTTCTTACCGGAAAATGGAAGACCTGTACATATCTTCGGCGACGGCCGAGCCGTGCACCAACAACAACGTGGACGAGGACTCGCCGAAGAAGAAATGGAACGGTGGCCTAGCCATCCTGCAGGAGACCGCCGAGGACTGCGGAAGAGGCGAAGACAGCGGCGGCGGAGGAGGAGGAGGAGGAGGTAAGCCACCGATGTCGCCGCCGGAGCGCAGGAACCGTCGGAAGTCGTGGCAAATGGGGCGGCTGGACAAGAAGCGCCGAAAGAGCGTGTCCGTGCTCTCGCCCATACCCGACGCCGAACAGCTGGACACCAGTGCACGCGAGTCGGCTTACTACAAGTCCAAGCGACCCAGCTGGTGGAACATCTTCGCTCACGATAATTGGGCCCGGTAAATAATTACTTATCATACTATTAGGTATTGGCGATTGAAAGTGATAAGAAGTAACGGGGACGCTGTGTATTATTTATATGTTATTTTATATGCTCCCCGTTACAGATCCACCCCCCCCTCCGTGGCCTGATAATTGATAAGCTTTCAATCGCCAATAATATAATAATAATAAAATAGTCATAATAATATGTGAAAGAAAAAATAATATGCCTTCGCCGTCTTTATGTCACTATTATTGGCTATGCGAGAACATAGGACCCTGAAGTCCTAAGATATGGTTCTGCGGGTTTGAAGGTTCTGTGAGTGCAAACGTTAACTATTATAATAGTTAAAACGTCTTTGTCTTACAAACGTGAAGGTTCCAAATTTGTGCTCAGAAGTTTCAAATTGTGTGCATTAACCTTTAATAATAGAGTGCATATTGATTTATTACCAACCTTAAAGGTACATGATGGGGTTTTTACGATACTTAATTATTAAGAGAGTTTCCTATGAGAATTTCTAATTGAAATATTTTACATACTCATAACTTGCTTAAAAATTAAATTATCGTAAAAAACCCTCGGAAAACCACATAGTAGGTACCAGTGAAGTTTAATCCCAGGTCAGCTAATCAGGGCCGCATTTAAGGGGAAGGAGAACTGACGACAACTGACCCGACTTCCAGTATTTTGGGGGATCAAACATTTTGTCGTCGGTAATTTGTTCCCTTGTGAATTATTAAAATTTTTAAAATATAAATTATTTCAATAACAATAAAATATTATATATTATTATTGTATTATGCTGTTTGAAATTAAATGCAATCCAATGCATTTATAGCAATATAGCTATCAGCGTTCGAGAATTATTAATATGCCTGATGATAGTTCCTTAATACTTTTTCCAAATTTTTTGAAGTTTCAATATTCAATAGACATAAGTTATTTATAATAATAGGGCGTATATTGCAAACGGCGTGCCTTCTACAAAAGTAAAATAAATTATTAAGCTACAATTCGAGCCACAGCATTTGTGAAACCTGTGTAATTTTTATTTCATTACTCGACGTTGTTGATTATTTACTATACATTTGTTTTGTATTAATTTAATTATGACCGGCAAAAAAGAGTTAAGTGGATAACAAAACCGTAAACAAACTTTGTTAAAAGACAAAAAACCACTCAATGTTATTACTTCTTAACAAATGCAGACAAATGCAAAATTTATTTCAAAAATATAATATTAATTTGCATATAGTTTAGCTATTTAGTTTTATTAAATTTATTTTTATTGTTCATATTAATATGTAAAAAAAACTTTTATTATGATGAATTACAAGCAGGGCTCAAGTGGCTTACACTTAATATTATTGTATCTTAGAGGAGTGGGAAGAGGAGGGTTCATGAAATTATTCAACAATATTATTAAAAAAAGCACACATTATTGTAAAACAAATATTCTTTTCTTTACTTATAATCTAAAATGTTCATGAGGATCCTCAAGGAGGCGCCAAATTTTTTTTGCACCTGGACGCAAAATGTCTAAATGCGGCACTGCAGCTAATACTTTATTATTAAAAGTAGTTGCTATACGACATCGAAATTGTTGAAACAAAACAATTGTGTTGTGTTGTACGACGTACGTTTGTAAGACGGCGACACCATGATATGAGTCGATACGTCAGGATACGATGTCCTCTTAAATCCTAGGTAGTATTGGTACATAATATTCCATAAAAGGTTTAGTTGTTGATACCGCGAGATATCACTGTAGGAAACTTTTGCCGCACCCGTAACGTATATAATGCAGTACATCTATAGTCTCCTCTCTACTCTTTCCGGTGACCTTCACGCAAAAGCTTAGAAGTCAAAGATAGAAAAAATAGCTTTAAGAGTTGTTTTGAAATCAGAGTTTTTTTTAGTGTTTTTACACCTTTCTTGGCGTTAACAGCATTTTGTTTTTGTACCTAAATGGATGCATTGTATTGTATATGTTTATTATAAAGCATGGTATTATGCTAAGCTCAATGTCTGTACTAGGAGAAAATTACATAGAAAATAGAAATGTACTGTGTTCATGTAAGCGTGTTAAAATAATTCCACCTGTTCTATAATACCTCAGCTGTCTGTCGGAAAGTACGACAACTAGGGTATGGATTTTGAAGAGTTTATATTTATTGTAATACATTCCGTCTGTAAATGGTATTAGATATACTGTAAACACATTAGGTGTGGTTAATAAGTTAGTGTCTTTTTGTATACGTGGATGAAAAAAAAATGGATTTATATAAAAGTAATTTTAGGGATAATATAGTTTGTGTTCTGATTATGTTATTAAATACTCAAGGTAAACGTATTACGCATAATTTATGTTCAATTTTAAATATTCTAAGATAAATGTATTTTCATTTAGATTGCATTGATTTTTTTCTTGAATGGGTGCATGTTGATAATATTATATTATATCCATATTAAATGTTGTGGGAAGCTTTTTCATTGATGGTGTAGCGAAAGATATGACTTCATGGGAGGAAATGTTAGTGTATGCTTAATGCTTATACTTATACATATAGCTTTCGGCTATAAATCGATCAATATAATATTATCAGGTAAATCGTAAACATGTGTAAACTTATAGTAGTCTTTGCTGAGTTATTTCACGTACATAATATAATAATATTCAAAATAAGATTTTTTTGTGAAATCTTGGCTGGTATACAATATTTTATTTTTATTATTAGTGTTCATATTTTAGAAAATTTCATTCATATTATTTTTACTAAGCTACCATGGGAATTTTTTTCTACATTTCCATAATTTAAACGGTTTTTTGGAGCGTTAAAACATAATTCAGGGCTAAACCATATATTGGAAAAAAATGTAAATAAAAGATAGGTACTTCTTCTAAATTATATTGATTATTATCATAAAATAATAATTTACAATAATGCAATATAGTGTAGGTATATGTGTAATATATACGGGTTTATGGCATAATAATAGATATATAGAAAAATATTCTAAATTACATAATAGATTTTGATTTTAGTTTTAATAAATTGTTATTATTTATAAATAATTTGTTATTACTTATTAGATATAACTTATAATTAGGTTCCTCATTACTTTCTATAATCATTAAAAGGTACACTGATACTTTCAATTGATTGTTAAAATGTAGGTTTTTATTGTGATCATCTAAATTTATATCGTTTGAATAATTTAAATTTGTTATCATTCGCCTTTCTCCTCATTTTATTATAAAAGATAATACTATTAAATAATAATTCTTGAATGCGTGATAAACATGCGTATGCACTGCTATCGTATGTGGCCATTCGTAGGTCAGTAGTGAAAAACAGTCTTGATAAAATAAATTATGTAACTTAAGAAATAAAATAGAGTGGGTGAAAGTAAATCATTCTATTGTAGTTTACCATATTGCATTGCTGAGGATAACGATATAGGTAACTGATTTTATTTTAGTACAACTCAAATACCTATAGATCTATGCAAGGCCGGATTGGTAATTGGTATGTATCGGCCCATCGAGATTTTCACTTATATAAGCGGCCCATTTACATATTCAGTGGCCCAAAATGACGTCTATAATTATTACGTGCTTATAGGTGGCCCAATCGTATTTTAAACATGAATTTATTTTCACTCAAACTCACACGACCTGCCTAAACTTTAAGCGGCCCACCCACATTTCCTCGGTAGCTCACCTAACCAATCCGGCTCTGGATCTATGGTTGCACAAAATATGTATAAAATCTCATATTGTGTGTTATCATATTAACATTTTCAATATAGACGTGACAACAAAATGATAACCTACACTATATTATTGCATCGTGTGTTCAATTGTTGATATCAAATTATCAGCACAGACTGCTCTTGATTCTGTCAGTCTTTATTAATCAAAATATTACCAATAACACTTTACATAATAATACTAAATATTTTTTTTTCCAAAAATTTGATTCTTCAAACATTTTAAATTCTTTTAATCAAGAAAATATTAAATTTAAATATTATATTTCTAAAAATGGTAAAAATATATTACAAAAACTTGTATTTTACAAATAAAACTTGAATTAGGTAGAAATGCCATTTGATTGGTAATTAAAAAATACACATTAATTTATTTTTAAAATAAAAACTGGTTGTTGTAAAGTGGTCATTATATTTCTAATATATTATGTTCATGGTTAATTTTTATGTATTTGACAATGAAACAAGTACAATGTTCTAGCTTTTATTATGTATTCATTACATCATATAATATATGATTATGTTGTAATTTTAATGGAAATTATTAATAAAACAAAATAGAGCTTATTTTTACAATAAATATTTTTTTGAGATCTTGTATATGGATCGCCCCTTTACCCAACATTACTGTGGCTTAAATTTTGTAAGTTATTATGGCGTTATGTAATTCTCCTTGAGACACGAAGTCATGAAAATATTGTTATTTAATAAATTCTCTTTGGGTAGGTAGTTTTAAATTGGTTTAAGATGAAATCAACTTTTATGGTAATCGTCCGTGATTGAAAGTCAATTTCTTTAAAAATTATTGAAATACATAATCTTGTTATAGATTGTTATCGGTCAGTGCATCTGACCACAAAAAATGATTTAGTTGCTATTTATTTTTCTTTACTAAAACTTCTGTCTTGTCCATTTATTTTGATCGTCCTTAAATCCTTGACCTATATATTTACTCAACTATTAGGGTATATGTAGCCTTGGACCTGTAAGAGTGTTACGTTTATCTTTGTATATCTAAATGACGATTTAGAACTAACGTATACGATACTTACATTTTTATAGTCGCGCCTTCTTAAGTACATATTCTATTTAAGGTGTTATGAGCCGTAGAAAAATCTGTTCTTTTCATCCCGTTGAATGGTTCATTATTATTTGATTATTACAGTTTCTTTTATTTTATTTTATTCATTTTTCCGTATGTGATAATCGGGAGCCCAACCCATATTTACACAATGTGGTTTTG